AACTTCATCCAATCATCTTGAGTATTCTCACATAAAATGAATTAGATTTTTTAACCCAATACTCCAATATTTCCATCATTATAGTTTATTTATCACATAAATATATAAATAAATATGTAGGTTATCATTAAGCATCATGAGTCATTTGTATATATTTATAATTCTATTACAACAAAAAGTTATAATTCATAAAAGTTTATTGTCATATCCTGATTTAAATAGTTTAGTAGAAAAAAAGGAATTCTGATTCCTTAAATACTAAATAAATGTTAGAAAAGAAATACATTATTACATAATCATTAAATTTAACAGAAAAGAGAACTTATATTTGTCTGTTCATCTACTTAATGATACGAAGTACCTGAAATTAATTCAATATAAAAAATGATGGAGTTATTTAATAAATAAAATTAAAAAAAAACAACCTTATAATTTTACTTTCATTTCAACTATATTGTGTCCATATCAATAACTTATTTTACAAACTAATTTAATCTTGATTAGATAACATGAGTTAAAGTCAATTTTAACTTTAAGTTACCAGCCCTTTCTTAGGAATTTATTTACCCATCTGAGTATTTATTTTCATCATTTATATCTAAGAGATAACCTATCACCAGACAATTGAGTCTTGATTAGTACTTAAAAGTGTATTTTTATCAAGGTTTTATATCATCATTTTGCACTTAAAGTATCAATAACTCCTTAACTAAAGCATGTTTTATAATAATATATCTAATAATATAAGATACCTTTAATTTATGGTAAATATTTATTTTAAATATAAGCCTATCACATAAATAAAAGGATTGATTGATGAATTTAAGAACTGAAATTGAAAGGACAAAGAGATGGCCAAACCTAGAAACGAGATGCTGGTGCAGTCCAAACCGGAACACTATTCGGTAATTGGGTCATATCTAGAGCTACAGATCTCAGATTTAGGTCCAATTTATAAGGATGGAAAGGTAAGACATAGGTCTACAACTTTCATATGGAGCCCAAGATCTAAAAAGGCCATTATCAAGTCCAAATTGTAGCAACAACAAAGAAGCCCGAATCTGTCTTCCAGCCCGAGCACTGTTCGGTATTTTGGCCATATCTGGAGTTCTAGAAGTCCAAATGAGCTGAATGTTTTACACAAGAAAGCTGAGACAATTGCCTACAACTTTCATGTTTACAACTGGCTCCAATTTTGACGTTATCAATGACGTTTTGGGCAGACAAGAGAAGATAAGGATTGTCACCAAGTCAAAAGTTGGTCACCCACTTATCAATTAGTCATCAAATCAATAGTTCCTAATTTTGGCCTATAAAAGGAGGCATTTGCCATGCATTTAGGCATCTTGGTTTCCAGATCAAGATCATGCTCTTCCTTTCTCTCTTTGTATTTTTTATGCTTTGTTTTCATTAATATTAAGTTTATGCCTTTCATTTCCTTTCCTTTACTTAGTTAACTTTTATGTTCTTATTTTGTTTATCTATTTTGCTTTCTTTCATTATGTCTAGCTAAGTTAATTATGTCAAGGTGAAAAGGTTACACTAATGGTGTAAGAATAAGTATAATGTAAACTTAATATGGACTTTAATGTTTGATACTAACATGTTTTATATTTGTTATCTTGTTCACTCTTTAATACTTTGCTTGTTAAATGACTAATCTTGATTTATGTTGTATAACACTTGGTACAACAAATGCTTGGCACTTTCATAGCCCATAATGTATGGTATAACCGACACCTGAGCTATGAAAGGAACTTGATTTATTGTTAACATAAGTTATAATCATGAATGCTTGACGAGATTTACAAGTATTAGCATTATATTATTGTTGTTGTTGTTGTTGTTGTTATTATTATTATTGTATTATTGTTATTTATAATTTGTACAATTCACCTCCTTGTAGTTCTATCCCGGTTTTGCCGGGTTATTTATTACTTCGACACTCCTGCACTTAGGAGAAGACATCAATTTTTTCATCGTGTCAAGTCTCCCTGCCCATTTCCTAGGCACTACTCCCATCACTAGAAAGCTTATTTTCTTTGCTCATCACCAAGCATTTATCCTATTACCAAGAAGTCAATTCCTTTGCTCATTATCGAGCACTAGTCTCATTATTGGGAAGCTAGTTCCTCTACTCATTATTGAGCATTCATCTCATTACCGGGAATTTAATTTCTTCACTCATTACCGATCATTAGTCATATTACCAGGAAGCTGGTTCCTCTACTCATTACCAAGCATTAGTCTTATTACTAGGAAGCAAGTTCTTTCTCTTTAATATATTTACATGAATTAAAATTCTACATTATCAATTAATTGACTTTTTAAAAACTTAATAAACAAAATAATTAAAGTGTTAAACACCTACCCATTGTTGAAACTTTCGTCATTTCCCTTTACTGTTGCACGGCTCCTAAGATCTCCTATGTAACAATATGTATACATTAGTAAGAGTAGCCCCATGAGCAGTCTTTTTAGGTAAAGAGGAAGAATAAGATGAACAATATACTAGATGACAAGTTGTTTAGTTTATTTTTTTTTATTGTTCAGTCAAAACACACTGTTTCATTTAAATGAAACAACGTCGTTTTAGATTTTAGAGTTTTACCTTAGGGGACTTGGCAAAAGTTCAATTTGGTCTTCTTTTTTTTAATTTCTTTTAATTGCACCCATAATTGATCTTAAACCTTCAGTTTTATGCAATTTTGTCCCTTGAAAACTTTAACATCAACCTTGAATTTCAATGCCTTTTTCATTGTAATCTTTGGTTTTAGATTATTTAAATTGACCATTAAATTTTTAATTTTCTTTGACTTCATCCATGATTTCAATCAATTAAATCCCTAAAGTTCAGTGCCTTTTTCAAAATGATTATTGGTTGTGAATTTCTTCAAATTAACTCGTAATTGACCCTCAAACTTTTATTTTTTTTTAATTTTACCCTTGATTTAAATTAATTGATTTTGTAAAAATTAAGTTTGGTATTCTAAAATTTTAATATTCTCAATTAAGCTCAAATTAGGCTCTTAAACTCAATTTTTCACCAATTAAATCCTTAATAAAATTAATTTAACCCATTTAAAGTATAATCAAACCCTTTCACTTGAAGAGGATTCTAAATATATAAAAAAAGGGTAAAATTTCAGGAAATAACCTAGAATTGAGTTATAACATAACCAATAATGTCCCATTCACTAAGAAGACAATGAGTTGATAGTAAATACCTATACAAAAGTTCAAGAAGTAAAGTAAGTGATTGTCCAAACTACTATAAAAATTGGCGTGCTTTGCTCTATCCTTATCCTTTAAATTTACGTTGTTTGACATTATATATGGTGTTGAAATTTAAAGTTTTAGAAATTGCAATAAAGCCAAAATTCACTTTTTTAAAAGCTTTCTAAGACTTTCTAGAAAAACCTAAAAAATATTAAGCCTCAATCTATTTTTTTAGCAAGATAAACAATCAAAAACATCTCAATAGAACTCTTATCATTAAATAAAACTCATTACTATCAAGATCAACTATTTTAATTATCAAAAGGTTGTCAACTCACAATCTTCTTTTTTTTTTTCTTTCTTGTTTTTTAAGGAGTTTCATTCTTCTTTTTTAGATTTAAAGACTGAAACATGATAAAAATAAAATTTTAAATTAAAATTTTAAATTTTTATCTTAAAAAAACATAAAATAAAACAAAAAAATTCCACGAGCTAAAATATTTAAAAACCAAGGAATGAATAACGGTGTAAATAATTGATGCCATGATGCATAATATATATACAATAATTGTAACAAACCCTTTAGCTTTTCTCTTGACATTTAATTTTAATTTCCAAAATGTACTTCTTGAATTTAAAATTTATAAAATATTCTCAAAAAAATTACCAAGGTGAATTTTGTTATTTGTCAATAATTTATTAGAAATGTATATGTATTTCAATAAACTAAGTTCACTCAAATAATTTGTCATATAAATTAAAAAAATCAAGTTAGATTCGGTTATTTAATGCATTGAACCAGTTCAAATATTTTTATTTTACAAGCTGACCCCCGGGAAATGAAAAAAAGTATGATAGCATATTATATGTGCAAATCAAATAAGGAAGTTATCTTAATAATTAATCTACTAATTCAAAGGGTATTATTGAGGAGAAAAACTAATTTAAAGAAAAAAAATAATTTAAAATTCTTGAGAAGCGTGGCCAGGTGTAAGAACAAACACCCCCTATTTTTTATTTCGCATTCTCATCGTGCACGATTTGATGTGGTTTCCTCTTTCTCAAAGATCAAGGATGCAATTGAAATTTATTTAACAGTTTAGGGGCAGGTTTGTACTTATATATTTCTTGAACTAGTCCCTTTACCGTACATGTTGAAACTTTCCACCATAGACGTCACGTCACATTCACCCCACAAGACGGTGCCGCCACTCTTGTTTAGAGCCTTAGCATTCCCAAGGTCCCACAAAGTTCCCACAAATGAAATAACCGACAAGTGATCGAAGGCTAAGATATCCACGGTCCGAAACCATAGTAACGTAAATCGTACGAAGATTGTCAAACCCGGCTTAAGGAATTTTTTTAACAAAAACACCCCTGTAGTTCCAGAATAAGCAATTAAGTACCTAACATCTCAATCGTAGCAACATTAATTAAACTAGAATAATGATAGAGATGTTTAATTTCTTCACCAAGATTATTAAATTAGGTACTAATCTTAGTAATTTAGATCTATGAACACAACTCTCCTTCCAAAATCGATTTTAATTTTGATTCTCATTAAGTTTAAAGTTTATCATTAGTAAAATTCAATAGAAAAATGCTACAAGTCAACCTAAGAACAGATGCTGTTGATCTGGGACATAGGGACTAACATGGCTACAAATTGAAACGTAAAGGAGTAAAATGGATTAGTGTAAAAATACAGGGACTTCAATGCTCAGAATCTAACTTTCCTTGAAAACGAAAAAACCCACAGCAAGAGAGAGAGAGAGAGAGGGAGAGAGAAAGTGCTTGCTGTTGTAGTGTTGGCGAATGAAAAAGGCTGGATTGGATGGCCAAGAAAAGCATCCAAGACAGCAAGAAAAGAGACGAGAGACACAAGACCATCTCTCGACAATAATAATTAATAAAAGGATGAAGAAATTGATGAGGAGAAATCATCTTACCTCGTTGAGTTCATTACCTTCTTGTTGTTGAAATGGAGACAACCTTTTTATTCACCAAATTACCATTGAGTGGCTGCTTTCACTTGGGATTCAAGTCACCGTCTTCTTCCTTTTTTTCGCGCTTCTCTCTCGACCATGACCTTCTCTCTTAAACCCTCTTTTGAATCCCCCTTGCTGATCCCTCTCTACCTTCACCACTATTCATTCTCTATCTCTCATGGACGCCACCTCTCGTCCTGCCGTCGTCATTGACAGCGGCTCTGGGTACTGTCTCTCTCTTTGATGCGCGCATGGTGTTTGATAAAATGTTTCGATTAATATTTTTTTTTATTAATTGTGTGTTTTATTGCTGTTTGCAGGTATACTAAGATGGGATTTGCGGGAAATGTAGAGCCGTGTTTTATTTTACCATCAGTAGTAGCAGTAAACGAATCGTTTTTAAATCAATCGCGAACTTCTTCTTCGAAAGCAAATTGGCTAGCGCAGCATAGTGCAGGGGTTATGGCGGATCTAGATTTCTTTATAGGAGACGAGGCGCTTGCCAAATCGAGATCCAGTAATACTTATAATCTTAGCTATCCAATCAAACATGGTCAAGTTGATAATTGGGATGCCATGGAAAGGTACTGGCAGCAGTGTATTTTTAATTATTTGCGTTGCGATCCAGAGGATCATTACTTTTTGTTGACTGAAAGCCCGCTTACTGCACCGGAGAGTCGTGAGTATACCGGTGAGATTATGTTCGAGACCTTTAATGTTCCTGGGCTTTATATTGCCGTCAATTCCGTGCTTGCTCTTGCAGCTGGCTACACAACATCCAAGGTTTGTTTTGTAGAATTTCTTGGTCATTTTTAATCATGCAAATTTCATTAGAGGCTCCCTAGAATGAAAATATTGGGTTTTGAGTTTTGGTACTTGTTTTTATTTTATTGAATTTAGGTTTTGGTTTTGCATTTTGATTTGGGACTTTAAAGTAGGGCTTGAAATGGTAAACGGGTGAAACATGTCATAGGTTGCTCGTGAGTTCATTGTAATATGTATTTTAGTAGTTTTAGTGGAATGTTCAAGCTACCTAATTGAATGTGAATAAGTTTACTTGTTTGTATTTTCCCTGTAATTGATTTTTGGGGGATGACTTATTTGACATATGCAGCAACCTATGGTAAATGTGTGCGTGTTCTTGAATTAATCATTAAACAAAAACATGCAAGTCAAGAAAAGCCATTGACATGTATACCTGTCTTGAAATTAATGATTTCTTGCAGCTAAATTTGAAAACATAAACATAAACGTAAATGTAATATGAACATAAACTAGCTGGTGTTCTAATTTATGTTGCTGAAGGTTAAGTGCTTTGAATTGGTGGCACGATGTGTTCTTTGAGAGAGATGATTCTGATTTTTTTGAGGAAAAAAAGAAGAATTTAATACTAATATGTTTCTTTTGCTCTCCTTTTTGATATTTAACTGCAATTGAAGTTTTCATATTAATCTTGCTCTTAAGTTGCATGATTATGATCCTTTTCCTTTGAGATTGACCTACAGTTCTTGTTAGTGTGAGATGACAGGGGTTGTTGTGGATGCCGGAGATGGAGCTACTTATGTTGTACCTGTCGCAGATGGTTATGTTATTGGGAGCAGCATTAAGTCAATCCCTATTGCTGGCAAAGATGTTACTCTATTTATCCAGCAGCTCATGCGGGTAAGTTGGTTTTGACTTCTAGCAATCGGATTTGGTATTGGCCCCTCTAGATATACTTCCCTCACTGATAGCTTTTTTTTTTGTCATGTTTGGTTTATTTTTAGACGTGAAAGAAGAAGAAAAGTAAGGAAAATATATGAGAATGGGTGGGCAGGGAGGAGAAAAGTTATTTATTTATTTTTTTTTCCTTTTTTTTGGGATGTTTTTTTTTTTTTTGAGAAAATCGTGTCTGGATTTTAATTGAGAGCTTACACCTTTTGCTAAAATGTTCTTGTCATGCCTGGATATTTTTCCCCTCAAAATCTGATCTGTTTTAGATGAAAAATTCTTATGGTCATGAAATAGATTTTATAGAACTTCCTCTCAGTTTTGAACTAACAAATGGAAATTAGAAATTGTCTTCCTGACTTAGAACATTCTTTCTAGTTCTATTAGCATGATCATTTGAAACATTTAATGGAGAGGTACAGACCATAATTCTGCAGTTTCAAGATGTGACACCTAATGCTCTTGTCTTGCACTAGCATCCGAGGCAAGATTATGGTCCATGCTTAAGACATGTTTTCCTATGACTTGATTGTTGAATTCAATTGCTTCATCTGCACTCCTCTTATTCAACCTCTAACTTGAATTTGTCACCATACATTGTGGATCCACCATCAATATATTGTGATTTAGCTTTTAACCTGTTGCTGTGTGTTGTACTAATTTTGCTTGTCTACTCAGTCCTTATTGTTTGCAAAAGTTCTATCAACTCAGTACGGAGTTGGTCTTTAGAGGCAACCATGGGTTTCCCTATTTAGAACTTTTGGGACCTTTTGGTTATTTATGTTTCTTTGTACCATTGCAACACTGGAGCTTTTTATAACCTGTTACTTTGTGTTAAATAGAAAAAACCATTTAGGTTTTGCTGTAAGTGAGAGCAAATGACAATGTGGATTCAAGCTCCTCTCTTGTTTTCTAATCCCTGTAGATGCTCAATCATAAAGTCATCAATTACTTGCTAAAGTAATGTTCATATATTTGTACTTGCCATTTGAGTCTGAATAAAAAACAAATTCATCAATTAAAAGATGCAGCTATGGATTTGGGGATTGTATAGCAATGGTATTGACCGAGGTTTTCTTTTTGTATTCTGTGGTGTAGGAAAGAGGAGAGAATGTACCCCCGGAAGATTCATTTGAAGTAGCTCGGAAAGCGAAGGAAATGCATTGCTATACTTGTTCTGATATTGTCAAGGTCATTTTTGCTTCTATTAGAATCTTGAATTGGATATATTGATCTGTATTGTCTTCATACTTTCAGATAGAGCATAAAGGTTTCATTGGAATTATGCTGTTCTGCCACATCACATATGTTTGGATCTAGAATAACATAGTAATATTCCTGCTCTCAAAATGATTCAGGAGTTCAACAAGCATGACAAGGAACCAGCAAAGTATATCAAGCAATGGAGAGGTATTAAACCAAAAACAGGAGCACCATATTCCTGTGACATTGGATATGAACGATTTCTTGGTCCTGAGGTTAGTTCTAGCTTTTTGAGCATGGTATTTTCTGTGCAAGCAACTTAACTTATTTTATTGTATGACAAACCATGGTTTTCACCAAATGTAGACGAGAAACAGGCTTGATTTATATAAACATCACTGATGTAAGTACTTCCTCAGAGAAATTCCATTGGATTTGCTTATGAAGCCAAAATCTTTGGGAAATATGTATTCTTTAAGCTTTCCGTGTAAGAATTTCCCCACAATTGAAATATGTATTTCCTGCCTGTACAGCACCTGAGAGTAATCTTGCATGCATGCTATGCAGTAATACTGTTGGTTACCCTTGCAATCACTAATTATGTCTATTCCTACTTTATTGAAATCATTTTCCCTGTAGTATCTAGATATCCTAATTACTATGATTCTGAAAATCTTTATACGCTGGAACTCTGAGATTTTCTTTAGCCACAATCTTCTTCAATACATGCCAGCGTTCAAATTGAAACTTAATTACATCCTTTTTTTCCGGAGGATTGAACTCAATATCGTCTTGGGTAACTGGAGATGGTTTCTTATTTTCACGAATAAAAATATATGAATGCAAGAGTTACTTTTTAGTATATGTCGATCATTTGGTGAGCATAATTAATTCATTATAATATGTTGCTTGTGCGTGCTATCTTATATACTGTTTTCCACAGTACTTTGTTTTCTGATTTTTTTAACTTGTTCACCAGGTGTTCTTTAATCCTGAGATTTATAGCAGTGACTTTACCACTCCTTTACCAGCTGTGATAGACAAGTGTATTCAGTCTGCACCAATTGACACAAGGAGGGCTTTGTATAAGGTGAAGTATCCGTAGTCCAGGGAAAAAATAGTTCAAATTTTGGACCTTGTCCAAAATTCGTTCCGATGAAACAATACAATATATTTTACCCCAATAGTTAGGAACAATAAAAAAAATTGAAATGAGATTGTGAATTGGTAATTTTCAAACTTTGGCATGAGCTATTTCTTCTCACAGAGATGTAATTGATAATTGCAATTGCTCGAGTGAATACAAAGTTGCACTTAAGCACATTCTTGTATTTGCTCAATATCTTTCTTTTGTGCTTATTATCACACATTGGTTTTTATTTTGAATTTAGAATATAGTGTTATCTGGAGGATCAACCATGTTCAAAGACTTTGGTAGAAGATTGCAACGGGATTTGAAGAAGATTGTGGATACACGTGTTCTTGCATCTGAAGCTAGACTTGGTGGGGGAGTAAAAGTAAGCATTTTATTATTTAAACTCACAATAAAAAGATATTTTCAAACGTATAATATTTCTTCCTTTTTCATTCCTGTTGTAACTAGCGCAAAAATCTTGAACATGTTTGTTGTTTTGGGTCTCCAGTCACAACCAGTGGAAGTGAATGTAGTCAGCCATCCTATCCAGAGATTTGCAGTCTGGTTTGGCGGTTCAGTGTTAGCATCAACGCCTGAGTTTTTTGCTGTAAGAATTATTTGTCCGGTCCATTTTCTAATATATATGAAAGCTTACAATATTCTCCATTCCCTTACAATATGATGCACTTAAACTGCATTCTCCTTTGGATTAACTATGTTTCCTTGAGGCAGCCTGTGGGCCTAGAAATTTAACAAATTTTGAGCAATGACTTTCTGCATTTGAAAGTTCATGGCATGTTTGATCCTTGCTTTCATTTTTCCGAGGAACAAACATTAAATTTGATTGTTACAAAAAAAAAAAAAATCCTAACACAATAGCTCTCGTTAAGAAATTGAGATAATAACACAACAATCATGTATAAACTGGTCAACACATACAAAACAAACTATTTTTCGTTTGCTTAAAACAGATTATACCAACGCTAGCAGCAAAACAATTTGAAAGCGAATATTAAAACAATCATTTCGACACTTTACATAGTTATATGTTACAGATATTGATCATATGTTTTTTTTTTTATAATTAAGAAAATAGTAACATTTTCCACTACCAAGCAATCCTTTTATATGTCTTCAAATTGATCTGGCGCTTCTTAACTTTCTGCAAATTAAAGATAAGTTTATCACTTGTTCCTGTAACAAGTTCATGAACACTTAAGCAAGCTCTTCTCTATCAAAGTTCAGATCCTACTAAGATTTAAGTGCAACCTTTTCATATTCATCTGTGAATTCTTGGAATTAGTGTGAGTTGAAGTAAAACAATAAATCTAATGTTGATTTTTTCTTGGTGACTGCTGCCTATTTTTTGTTGAATGTTGATCAGCCATGCATTTAGCTCATTGGCTTATGGACTCATTCCTTCTCAAGCTAGTGCTGCTTTAGATGGACCTTTTGTTGTTTTTCTTATTATTGTCATTATCAAAACATCATTTTGATCACTGTGATTACCACCACCACTTTTTTTAGGGAGATCAGAAGGTTTGATCAAAGGTTGTTTTCTGAAACCAGAGGCATAGCAACAACCTAATTATTTTACGAGCATCACAAATTTGGCACTCACTTTTACTACAAAATGAAATTTGTGTGGTGTAATTAAGTAGTTTCGAGAAATTAATTCTGCTTAGCTTGAGGAATGGGGGCTGTTTGGCTGACTTTATTTTCTGGGATGGGGGTTGAAATAGGTTTTTGCTTCTTATTTTTTGCTATTTGTTTTTTTTAGCTGTGGTGTCTATTTAATGACACCATTTCCCGAGTTAAACATTCATGTCAGATTAAATTTGGAATGTAGACTATAACTGTGTCTACTTTGTGCACAGGCCTGCCATACAAAAGCAGAATATGAGGAATACGGAGCAAGCATTTGCCGCACAAATCCTGTTTTCAAGGGAATGTATTGATGCAAAAACCCAGTTGGGCAGATTGTTTACCAAGCACTTCCATGGCATTGTTCCATGGAGTGCCTCATCATTTCCATCTCTATCGCTTGCCATGGTTCACTTCCCTCGCCCCCCCAAATTTACTTGGTCTTCATGTATATTCACGGATTGCTGGAGGTGGTGTAAAATATGGACGCCCATTCTTAATTGTTAGAAAAGAAGATGATTCCTTGTATCGATTCTTTCATTGGTTAGCTGCAGCCTCCTCTTTAGATGTCTCAATAGGATGCCAATTAATTGTGTTATTCGTAGGTGCCCCCCCTGGTGCTTGACGACCATATAGCAAATATCCTGTAGTTAAACATCATTTTGAGCCGGATTTTTAGTCTGCGGCTCCTTAGAATACGATAAAGATTTTTTTTCTTTCCCCTTTTCCATTTGCCTGTGAACAAAATGTATTCATTCGTTTGCATGAACTGCATAAATGGAAGTACTAGTCTGAATCAGGGAAATGGTGACCTGAATTTCCACTTACCTCTCTGTGTTACAGAATTCGTGTACCGACATTATCTGTTATATAATAAATATTCATTGTATGAACTATGACTTCTTCATGCTCTTGCAAATTCGGGACCTGATAGAGATGTGTGCTGTGTTTTCAGTTTCTTGCACGCCCTTTTGTATTTGGCTAATTGATTTTCTGGTGGGAGATGTCTTTTCATGATGCAGATTGAACAGCCGCGTTGCTTGGTCTGGTAATCTTGAGGTAATTTCTAGTATAGTAAGATGTCGTTGACAATAATTATCACCCTTTCTTCTGTTCTGAATTGCCCATCCACTCCCCCCATGATCATTTGAGCCCCTGAATGTTATAAACAGTAGTAAATAAAAAAATAAAAAAATAAAAAATAGATATTACCATCGTGTCGAGGTTTTTAAAACTCGTTCAACTTAACCCAACCTAACATGCAAGTTTTTTAGCAGTTAATTTTTTATTTTAATAAATTGATATTTTCATGTTGCGAAGTAAACTCACAAGTGCTAAATCCTTGCAAGCCGCTTCCATGGTGTGTTTCTCTGGGAGAGCGATTCTACAGAAGAAAAGCAACATTTAATGAACATGTCACCTTAAAAGCAGCCATACTTCATAAAAAGTATTTAAGTGACTATAAGAGACTCGTCAAGTTTAAGAGGTTTTAAGTTTAAATTTCATCAATAATGTTTAAGAGATATGACATACCTCTATTCAATATTCACTGTTGGATGTCCCATCAACTTTGCTATCTATCAAGTTTATCGAGGAAAACAAAAACAATAAAAAAAGTTTTATTTTTTATAAATATAAACTATTTATTAAATCCAATTAAATTTAAAGGAATAATTAAATAATATGAGATATAACTTTACAGGAATTGATCTAATAAAACTTAATAAGAAGGTCAATTAAAAGAATATTGGGGAATCTGATAATAAATTTTTTAAAATATTTTTTATTTAAAAATATATTAAAATAATATATTTTTTATGTTTTAAATTATTTTTGATATTAGCATGTTAAAATAATTTAAAAATATAAAAAAATAATTTTAAATAAAAAAATTAAATTTTACTGAATAAACCGTATTTTGCCTTTTAATTTTTTTTCTTAACAAATTTTTTTTTTCATTTTTTAAAATCTTAAAATTATACTTTATGAGATTAACAAATCAATTTGAAATAACTTACCTCATCCATAACGGCACATTGAGCCGGGCGATAAGAGTTTTATTTTCACTGTATTTTATATATATATATATATATTTTGTAATTAGTCACAAACCATTCACTAACCTCTAGAATATTTCCTTTTAAGAAGAAAAGAAAAAGGTAAATAACAATAAAAACGATTAAAGTTAAATTAATTGAAAAATACGATCAGCATTTACAAAAGAAGAAGCTAATAAATTATTATTATTACCTTATGTTTTTTTGGGTTAAGACGAACAACTTGCAAGATAAAAAAAGACAAAAAACACACTTAAAACCGTGGCTGCGGGACAGAGCTCGTGCCGGAGCCGAGAATAGAGAAAGCCTGCGTGTTTGTTTACTCCAAGACGAAGCACAAAAACCAGAGTAAGAGAAGCGAAACTTTAATATTTCCATTGGGTATTATTTTGCCTTCTTGCAATCTAATCATTTGTTATTATCTGCGTTTTTTCCTAGTACCTCTTTTCTTGCTGAAATTAGGTGTGCTAACTGACAATTTATCTTTCTTTTCATCAGCTTTGTGTTTGATTTTCTCATCATCTCTTGAATTTTGGAAATGGGTTTTTGTTTTATTGGATATTTAGGTTTTGTGATAATGGGTATCTGATTTTGTCATTTTTTTTCAAGATTCGAATGTTTAAATACAAAGATTTATGTGTTATTGGTTATTTAACAACATGGGTACTAGGTAGTTTGCTACTTTGGTTTGGTACTTCTGTGCTATGCAGTACTTTGCTTTTTACCTTTTCCATGAAGATCTAATATAGGTGGTGTTGTTATTTTGTTGATTTTATATAGATGGAGATATAGGGTTTGTTTAAAAAAAGTGTATGTTTGTTGAATCCAAAGGTTGGTGAGCAAATGGATTACGAAGAAGAGGAGAAGATGCAATATCAGGGAAGCGGTGCCATACCTGCACTTGTAGAGGAAGAGTTGGGAGAAGATGACGAGTATGATGATCTATATAATGATGTCAATGTTGGGGAGAATTTCTTGCAGATGCATGGCTCTGAAGCGCCAGCCCCACCTGCTACAGCAGGGAACGGAGGATTCCAGACTCGAAATGCTCACGAATCAAGAGTTGAAACCGGGGGTTCACAGGTGCTTACTATCTCTGGGGCTGGGGTTGCAGTTGAAGGGAAATATTCTAATGCTGGGGCTCCTTTTCCAGAGCAGAAGCAGGCAGCGATTGGCGTCGAAGCAAACGATGTAGGGTCCATTGGTTATGGTGATGGATCTTCTGTTGCTCAGAAAGGGAGGTTTATTGAGATGGGTCATGATGTTCATGTCAGGAACATGGGATTTCAAAAACCAGCATCAGTGCCTCCTGGTACAGGGGTCGATCCTTCTGATATGAGTAGAAAAATTGCTAAAGAGCCTGAAACTTTGCCAAATACTGGCAGTTCTGGTCCTCGAGGTGTTCCACAGATGCAAGTTAATCAAATGAATATGAATGCAGATGCTAATCGCCCGGTGGTTAATGAAAATCAGGTCCGGCCACCTATAGAGAATGGTCCAACCACTCTTTATGTGGGAGAATTACATTGGTGGACCACTGACGCAGAGCTTGAGAGTGTTGCATCTCAATATGGGAGGGTGAAAGAGATTAAATTCTTTGATGAGAGGGCTAGTGGTAAGTCTAAAGGCTATTGCCAAGTTGACTTCTATGAAGCTGCTGCTGCAGCTGCATGCAAAGAGGGAATGAATGAGCATGTTTTCAATGGACGACCTTGTGTTGTGGCCTTTGCTTCTGCACAAACACTCAAGCAGATGGGGGCTTCTTACATGAGCAAAACCCAGGGTCAGCCCCAGCCCCAGTCTCAGGGAAGGGGGTCTATGAATGATGGTATGGGAAGAGGCGGTAATGCGAATTATCAAAGTGGAGATGGAGGAAGGAACTATGGAAGAGGTGGGTGGGGAAGGGGTGGGCAGGGAGTTCTCAACCGGGGACCTGGGGGTGGACCAATGAGGGGAAGAGGTGGCATGGGTCCCAAGAATATGGCTGGGAATGTTGCTGGAGTTGGAAGCGGTGCTAATGGTGGAGGGTATGGACAAGGAATTGCAGGTCCTGCATTTGGTGGACCTGCTGGTGGAATGATGCATCACCAGGGTATGATGGGTGCTGGATTTGATCCATTATATATGGGGCGAGGGGGTGGTTATGGGGGTTTTGCTGGCCCTGGTTTTCCTGGCATGCTTCCTTCATTTCCTGCTGTTAATTCAATGGGACTTGCTGGGGTGGCTCCTCATGTCAACCCGGCTTTCTTTGCCCGAGGAATGGCACCTAATGGGATGGGAATGATGGCCTCCTCTGGAATGGAAGGGCCGAATCCAGGAAAGTGGCCTGACACAAGCATGGGAGGATGGGGAGAAGAGCCTGGTCGAAGGACAAGGGAGTCAAGCTATGATGGTGACGAGGGTGCTTCTGAATATGGATATGGAGAGGGGAATCATGAAAAGGGAGCTCGGTCAAGTGGCGCCTCTAGAGAAAAAGAACGGGTTTCTGAGCGTGACTGGTCGGGTAATTCTGACAGGCGGCACCGTGATGAGAGGGAACAGGACTGGGACAGATCTGAAAGGGAGCACAAGTACAGGGAAGAGAAAGATACTTACCGTGGACATCGTCAAAGAGAGCGTGACTCGGGTTATGAGGATGATCGGGATAGAGGGCACTCTTCTTCAAGAGCTCGGAGCAGGTCCCGTGCGGCTCCAGAAGAAGATTACAGGTCTCGATCAAGGGATGTAGACTATGGCAAAAGGAGGCGCCCGCCATCAGAGTGACAACACCATGCTGTTCATCCTTCTAGGACGGTGCAGAGGGTGTCTTCTCAGGAGAGGAAGTAAGTTCTACTCGTTTGGATTGGGAGGGGAGAATAGCTACTCTCTTGCTTCCTTACTGCACTATCTGAACTTTATTAGCTAAAAACCTAAAACTTAATATTTATGTGCTTTAAAACTTTAGCAGTAACTGTTTGTAGGATGGCTGATGTGGATATTCCTTGTGGGGTTGGACTAAAATATCCCACAGCTGAGCATCCCATTAGATTTATATTTTTCCTGAATTCTGTTTGAGTGCTTGTGGTCCTGATATGCATGAAACTTTCTTCTCCGTGGGATTGTTTTAGATGATGACTAACATACTGTCTATCATTTTATATTTTTTTCAGTGCTTATGTGAAAGCTTCGTGCTTTGTCAGATGCATATAATAGTGCAGAGTTTGGAGTGCCATAACTCAACACCATTTTTCACTTCATGTTTTTTTCCCGGGGAATTTTCTATTCAAATAGTCAGAAGTCTTTTCTACACCTCTTAATTTTTATGCCTCTGGCCCTGAATTTGGCATGGTGTTTTCTCTTTCTGTTTTTCAAGTAGCTAGATTATATGTTGTCTATTTCACAGTTGCTTGCTGTTTCCATTCCATGCCATTGCTTCAATTCTTTTTCTAGTATTATTTGGTTTAGTGTCATCATTGATGGCTACTAGCATGGTCTTGGGAAGACATCTTGCCTTTGATGTCATTCTCTGCATGCTGCTACTTTACCTGCATTAAGAAACAGCCCATCTGCATGGTCCTCCCATTACCACTTAATTCTTTGTCTGGAAACCTTCTATAGTCTTTGAAGAAGAAAAGAGGTCGATGTTCAATCTGTACTTTTCAAGTTTATTATATCCTGTCTTTTCAAGTTCAACAATTTTGGAATTAATACAGGTCATGTGAATGAATGTCTTTAAGTGTTGTTCTATCTGTGGAAGATAGATCATCAATAGTTGTAAGCCTGTTAGTGGATGATGGTGTTCTCATTTAGGTTTAATTTAGTCAGTAGTAACAGTAATGGTGTTTCCACCTCTTATTTTTATTTGCCCAACACATTCTGGGGAAGTAAATGACAAACTTCGCCTTGGCATTTAAGGTTCAACTATAGATTGTAATGCATTGCTATGATGAAGGTCATTTTCTAGACCTAAATTTTGAGCTTAACAGTTTTTGGTGTATACTTAGGGTTGTAAACTTGTTTTGTTGTTCTCGAGTTTTGATATAAAATTTGTTTGTTTACAACCCTTTTATGAAAGGCTAGATTGCATTGATTCATTTTGCCATCTCTTCTTCCTTCTTTATACACTTTTATCTTTTCTTATTTCTCTTTGAAGTTTACACAATGACATTTTGGGTTGAACTGTAATGTAATGGTGCAAAGAAATAATAGCTATTTTCTGCTATCACACTTTCTTTATTCCATTGCATTGCATTGTTATCTTGCACCCCACCAAACCTACCATCATTTCTGGTCCTTGTGTTTATTGTTTCAAACTGTGACCACATGCTGAAACATTAAAACCACTCCCTAGGATAGTAGTTCTGCATATGAAACATGTCTATCAATAAAGCATTTGTAATCCTGATCCCCACATGCCTGTTCTGGTAGTTTTGAGAGGTTCATTTATCCCTTTTTTAATGGACTTGATTTCTTTTCATATCTTACCTTTGTTTGTAGTTCTGAACAATTCAACTTACAACTGTAGCAAATTGGCAGTTTTGGATGGTTTAATCTATAAACTACAATAGCACATAAATAATTTTGTTTTTGCCTGTCGTAGAAGTCTGACATAGGACTGCTTGGTGAAAAATTGGACAAGGTAACAGTTGAATTTGATTGATTTGTCCTGAGTATGCAATGCTCATTCTAATATATTGGGTGATAGGGGTAGATTCTACAGTGGTGTCTTTGACAAATTATTTTCTTTTAATATGCCTTTTGACGTAGGGGTTCTCCCTTTATCATCCATCCAGGGAGTGGACTGGGCAACTCTTTGTTTTCATGATTGATCAATTTTTGATGTCTGGGGGAAGATGTGTTAGATTGAGCAGCTTCATTGGTTCCTTCCATAATGGTTTTCGACTGCAAAGTTTGCAAAAGAAGCCTTCATATTTTTGCTTTTTCTTTCTTTCCTCGAGCATCATTTAGGAATCTGCAAATAATGCTCCTGTGAGACTATGTATAGAAAGAGATGTATTTTGTGGAGCTGTAGAATGTATGGGATGTCTGTGATAAGTTTCAGGATGTTAGCATCGCGTTTATTTTTTTTGTAAATCACCAGACTCACTTCTGTAAACAAATACATGTATTAGGTCCATAGCTTAGTCTCCTCAGTTGTTTATCTGAATATAGCTCTTATGTGAGCTTGTAAAAAAGCCTTGTACTGATGATGAGGCTCTTCTTTGTACAAATTTGATGCCTTGCAATTCGTCATCCTATCTTGGTGTAAGAAGGGTCAGAGATGAGCTAGTGCTGCATAATGATGGGTAGCTGTTTCCACTGTAACAATGTAAAAACTAGTTTTTTTTTTTTGAATTGGTTTTATGCCATCAGTTCCTTGTTTTTTGTAGTTCTGATGGATCTGCTGTATAAAACCATTGTTTTCCAGTTTGTTCATTAGGATATGGAGTTTAAGATGTTTATTAGATTTTCGGTCTTCAATCTTCTTGTATCTGTATACAAGGACAGGCACAGATCTTGAAGGTCTAAGTGTTACTGAATCATGACATGGAAAGTTGCTACAGCTGTATCAAGTATACTGTTGTTGGTTTTATCTTGTACCTGCATTTATCTTTTAATTTCTTTTTGTTCATGATAGCATGTAATTTTCTGTTCTTTATATATGCACAGCTGTGGTGTTTAATCTGATATCATTTTGGATTGGGCAGTATAATTGATTGCTTGATCTGATGAGCGCAGCTGTTACATTTAGGAATTTTGCATCTGATGTGGGGAGGGGAGAAAGGGATATTTAATTAGCAAGATTGGCATCCATTCTCACTTTGCTTTTCTGTTTTAAGCTCTTTATGGGAGATCGAGGATAAGTTCATCTTTATGTTTTTAACATGATGCTAAGCTTTTTCACAAGAAAATTTAATAACACCCCCCCCTCCTCGCATCAGCTATTAGTGCTTGGTCTGTCGCAGATTCTCTGTTGAAACGATAGCTCAACTTTCATTCCTACTGTCGTAGTTAGTTTCTTGTAGACTCGGTGTTTGCGGGCTCTCACCTTGAGAATTTTGAAGATTTCCTGTTGCTCAAAGTGCTGGGGCTATTTGTTTGAATGTTTTGTTACTGCTAGTCATCTTACTTTTCCAGTGAAGTATTTATTATCATAGCTTAGTAATGTTCGAGTGGGAATTTATATCAGACGATAGCCTCAGCAATGCCAACAAATATGATGCGTTTGTTTGAACTGTTGATTTTTTGATGTCCCGTCAGCTGTTTTGTTTTGGTGTGGGTGGAGAAGGTGTTACCGGGAGAGTTGAGCTTTTTTCTGTGCAAAAACTGGAAAGGAGGCATTGCCACATTGCTGCGCTTTGTGCTTAGGTGTTTGTAATCTGTTCCTCTCTGAGCTTTTAACAATGGGCTTTGTAATAACGATTCATTTAAGATTCCATATGGTATATAGGTTATGGGATGCTCTTTTAGCCCAGCCTAGAGGTTCCTTGAACATTTATTTCATGGGCCTGGCCCATGAAACTTCAACATTAAAATACCTAAAAGGTTTTCAAAGTTATTTTTATATTAAAATAATATTTTTTAATAATTTGAAAATATAAAAAAATATTAAATTTAAATAAGAAGAATTTTTAATTTTTTTTTAAATAATTTTGAAAGGCAGTTGATTTTTTATTTTATTTTAAATCTGCCTAGTTTTGAATAATGGAATAACTTAGGCTGTATAACAAATTAAGTGGGCCCATAGAATAAAGGCCCGAACACATTAGAGAAATAAATGGAGCCCAGGCCTTAAAAGTGGAGTGAAAAGAAAATAGCGTATCATCAAGTTAGGGCTTTGCTTTGAAAAGTGAGAGAGAGCGGTTCTTCCCCCCCAAAGCTACTACTAGTATTGGTAGTTTCTCATTTCACTGAATCCTTCCTTCTAAAATTAGTCTGGAATTGAGAGATGGCGTTAGCGTTCGATGAATTCGGGAGACCCTTCGTAATCATAAAAGAACAAGACCAGAAGGTTCGACTGAGAGGGCTCGATGCTCAAAAGGCCAACATTGCTTCTGGTATGGCGGTCTCTCGCATCCTTCGAACCTCCCTCGGTCCCAAAGGCATGGACAAAATGCTTCAGAGCCCCGACGGCGATGTCACCATCAGTCAGTACTCTTCACTCTCTTTAATGTATTCCGCTACTGATATAGGGTTTTTAAAGTTCAAATCTAGTTTGATTAGGGTTTTAGGGTTTGTGATCTACTACTTATGGATATGGATCTTTGAAATGTTTTGAAAAGCAAACGATGGTGCTACGATATTGGAGCAAATGGACGTGGACAATCAGATTGCAAAACTGTTGGTTGAGCTTTCGCGGAGTCAGGATTATGAAATAGGGGATGGGACTACTGGTGTTGTTGTTTTGGCTGGTGCACTTTTAGAGCAGGCTCAGAAGCTGTTGGAGCGTGGGGTTCATCCCATTCGCGTTGCTGAGGGTTACGAGACAGCTTCTAGAATTGCTGTTGAACATTTGGAGAAGATTGCGCAGAAGTTTGACTTTGGAGTTAATAATATTGAGCCCTTGGTTCAAACTTGCATGACTACTTTATCTTCCAAGATGTAAGTTTGCTTCTGCTCTGTTGAACATTTGGCTGTTGTTTTTTAGTCACAGCTCTAAATGCCTAGAACATCTGTTATGGACTGTATGGAAACTGAGAATATGGTAAACCAAAGTCATAGGACGAGAGGTTTTAGCATGTGTCAACATAAGCCCAGGGTAGCTGTTTCTTATCATGCAGAATGTAGTGCCATGACTGTTCATATGATTCATAAATATTCCTTATTTTGTATAAACGGTAATTGCCTTACATGAATCTTGATAGTTGCTCATATCTATTTATGTTTCCCATTTCCTTAAATCTTCTAAGCTGTTTTTATGTTTTCTGCTCCCATGCACATGTATGGGGCACTATCATAGCTGAGTTTAGTGTGGTTCAACTTTGAATCTTCAAGGTCTTTGGTAGGGAATGGAAAGATGAGTGTACTGCTATGCATTAGCTGGAGTTTGGAGTAGTTGAACTGTGTGTTGCAACCTGATTTTTCATCCTGGAAATTCCCATTTTCAATCGGAGGTGTTTGACTTCAAAATTTGGGCATGACAGGAAGATTCATAATAGTTGGATACCTCGACTGTTTGTCAAATGCTATATACTGTAACTGCTACACCTCTCTTTGTTTTGCAGTGTGAATCGGTGCAAGCGCAGTTTAGCAGAGATTTCTGTTAAAGCAGTCCTTGCCGTTGCAGATTTAGAGAGGAAAGATGTTAATCTAGATTTGATAAAGGTTGAGGGGAAAGTAGGAGGCAAGTTGGAAGATACTGAACTGATTTATGGGATAGTTGTTGACAAGGAAATGAGTCATCCGCAGATGCCAAAGCAAATTGAAGATGCAAAAATTGCTATCTTGACCTGCCCCTTTGAACCACCTAAGCCAAAGACTAAACATAAGGTGGATGTTGATACAGTTGAAAAGTTTCAAACTTTGCGTAAGCAAGAGCACCAGTACTTCGATAACATGGTTCAGAAATGCAAGGTGGGTTGCGCTTTGTGTCATCTTTAAAAAATGTGTCACTGAACAATTGTACAAGCTCATCTCTCTTACCAGACATTAAATTTCTGCCCTTACCCATCTCCCCTATATTTGTTGTGTTAAAACATTCCCTTTCTTTCTCTGGTTTTGCCATTTTCTGACTGTTCTTCTATTTCCATCTGGATGGTATTAAGGTTGTTTGAGGTTTTTGATAGGTTTTTATGTTTTTTGGTGGGTTGCTTTTAAATTGCTAGTAGAGTTATATTACTATCTGTTTGTGTTGCTTATATATTTTTTTGATGTTGTTTAAATTTGATTCTCAGGGTGTAGGTGCAACCTTGGTTATCTGTCAATGGGGGTTTGATGATGAGGCAAATCATTTATTAATGAACAGGAACTTGCCTGCAGTCCGGTGGGTTGGTGGTGTAGAGTTAGAGCTGATAGCAATAGCCACAGGTTTGTGTCAATTAAGCTTCTCTCTCTAGATGTTCACGTATACATGGTCATATATTTGGGTGGAGCACTTGAGCATTTATAAAATCTGCTGTCATGATTTAAGTGATTATTAATGAAATGATGGGGTATTGTTATTTTAGGTGGAAGAATAGTGCCAAGGTTCGAGGAGTTGACACCAGAAAAGCTAGGAAAGGTAAATTTTTCTTATTTATATACCCTTTTCCGTTATGGAAAAACAGGCTGAGTATAATAGCATCGTGTCTTTTTGTGTTCTCAAACCAGGTTCTATCCTTAAGAAGAAGATTAAACTATAATTATTTTAGTTGAGTCAGGTTTTAGAATGACTCTCTTTAAAGGCTTGTTAACCAATTTTAAAGATTCTTGCATTTCAGTGACTGAACTCTATTGATTCATGCATTTACTTCATTTTACTTTCTCGCATGCAGTACAAGCAACACTGATGTGTTATTCTTTCTTCCTTTTCTCTTGCTGTTTTATTTATGAAGGCTGGTTTGGTTCAAGAAAAGGCTTTTGGCACAACAAAAGATAGAATGCTGTATGTTGAACACTGTGCAAATTCAAGGGCAGTGACCATATTTATTCGTGGAGGTAGGATTTAGATTATCCATTTAAAATCTTGATTGCAATTGATTTGGCTTATCTTTTTATATGGTGGTGATTAACAATGTGTTTTTAATACTTCCAAAATATAATTGTTATCACACCAAGTCTTTTGCATTCATGTTTTCATTCCCAGTAAATGGGTGGCAACCTTGGTGCCTTTAGTTTATCCTCTTTTTTTTTTTTTTGGAAAAGGAGTGTCTATTGCATTGTAGAATAAGCATGTAAGCGTTATATACATGAGGCATGATGAATATTTGTGTTGGAATCAACTTATTTGCTATTATGAAGTTTGAACTCCCTTATGTCATTTATGTGTTTGATGCTCGCAGAGTCAACTCCTGCATTGTGTGCCTGCTTTCATATGGGATCATGTATGCATGTATGAAAAGCACACTGGAGATGATCTCAATCTACAATACACTTGTTTAAAGAGATTGTCCTGCTTTGCTTAGATGAATCAGTTTATTTAATACTGCTCTGACTGCTTTGCTTAGATGTGCCTGCTCTCAAAGAGACTGTCCTGCTATCTCACTAACATCTAAGTATCAAACTATTCTAGCAGAGAAAGGAACCAGTTGAAAAGAGCTCTTCATAAAAAAAGCCTTCATGTCAATTCTGTCAAAGCTCTTCAATGCTTTATGTTGAACATGTATTTTCTGGTTTTCCTAGTTTGTCAAGCTGTGTCGATGCATTCCATTGCCATCATAGTGGAGTTGCTTTGCTATTTTCACAGTCAACTCAAGAAAGCAAGGCATCAGTTTACTCTGTTTGATATGGAAACCTATTGCTGTTTAATAGGGACCTGTTTGGAAAAAGATTGGGGATCTTGAGGTTATTTAGTTGATCTCATGCAAGTTTCTGGTGCTTTGTGATTGCTAGGTAACAAAATGATGATTGAGGAGACAAAGCGTAGCATCCATGATGCACTGTGTGTGGCAAGGAATCTCATTCGCAACAATTCTATTGTATATGGTGGTGGCTCATCTGAGATTTCCTGCTCAATTTCTGTGGAGGCTGCAGCTGATAGATATCCAGGAGTTGAGCAGGTATCAGGGCATTTACTGATGGATTTTGTTTCTTTTCTTTTCTTTTCTTTTTTGCTTGATTGATACCTATGGCTTTTATTTTCTTCATCTGCAGTATGCTATCAGGGCATTTGCAGATGCTTTAGATTCCGTCCCTATGTCGCTTGCAGAAAATAGCGGTCTCCAACCCATTGAGACATTATCTGCTGTGAAATCTCAACAAATTAAGGTAAATATGATATGGCCACCTTCAGTGCCTCACACATATCTAGCTCCACTTTGTGTAACTGCACAGTCCATCACCATCATGGTTGTGATTTTCATTTTCGTTTTAAAATTGATTATGCAGGAGAACAATCCTTACTGTGGAATAGATTGCAATGATGCTGGTACAAATGACATGCGAGAGCAAAATGTATTTGAGACTCTTATAGGAAAGCAGCAGCAGATTTTGCTTGCTACACAAGTTGTCAAAATGATTCTAAAAATTGATGATGTCATTTCCCCTTCTGATTTCTGATCTTTGAAGATCTGTTACATCACACTGCTTAGCCATCAACCAAGGCCATATTGTTTTGATGGCCTGATGTGGCATATGGAGCCGCATGGAGACACTCAATTCATCATAGTTTGTTTTGGTTACAGATTTTGTATCTATCATTGGATTTTAGTTAGGCTTTTCTTGTGTTCAAACTGGTTGATTTTGTCGCTTGTTTTTTTTTCGATTACTGCATGTTACTTTATACCCCCCTTATTAGCTGCCTCTACTTGTATACTGCATATTCATTGCAGGATCCTTTGTTTCAGCTCGTTTTCCTTGTTCTTTGTTTCAAATGATTCCGACTGAATGCCTTAATGTGATGGAAGTGGAAAAATTAGTTGTCAACAAGCTAATGGAGTATGTACAAGGTAGCTGCTGAGGAATGCACGCACCCCGTTATTCAGTGCTGCAAGAAGCATGTGCATTTTTCAGGTAACTAAACAGGGTAAATAGATGGTATTAGAGAATCAGTGTGGATGTCTAGTCGTGTATTTTCATAAAACTAGAGATTCGCATGTGACGAGCTTAAGACCAAAAATATTGCCCCTTTTATCACTTGAATGAGCATCACTAGTAATTTTAAGCTGTTCGGCGCATGTCCCATTTGTCTTTTTCTGAGGTTGGAGCTTATATAGGATTGGAGATGTGGAAGCCGTCGCTTCTCCTCGTCTATCCCAGAGGATATTGAGCAGACTTAAAAAAACAGGGAGAATTTGTCTTTTAGATACTCTTTGTAGCTTCATTCCGCTGCGATAAAGGAACTGATCTTCATTTTTTATGCTTTTCATCTATACAGATGAGTTTAAAAAATCCGTCGTCAATACGTCATTTGTATGATCATTCATGCACAGGTTCGAATGAGCTCAATGGATCCCTATTGTGGCTCATTCCCTGCCTTGGGGTGAATAGAAATTAATATACTTCGACCTTTGGTTAGAAATCAATGTTACTGCTAGAAAATACAGGTTGAAAATCATGCTCGCTATTACTGGATACAAGATTCAATCATTCATGGAAAGACAAGCTATGCCCTGATGAGCCCCAGGCAGCAATTAAACAAGACACACGATACACAGACAACGGAGTACTCTGTACATTTCCATCTCTGCCGGCCCTTTAGTTTCCATTTATGGATAGGGTAATGCAGGTTTGGTTTGGTGGTATCATTTATGGCAACTGGACTCTGTCAGCTTTAATGTTAGAATCATTTGTTGTTTCACTGGGTGGATGGTCGGATAAAGAGAATTACTACACCTTCAGAGACAAGATCTAAGCCTAGATGCTTTTGCAACTTTTTCCAAACAGACAAACATGTTGTGTTCAGTTTCATTTCCACGAAAAAATATGGTCCCATTAAATGGGCTCCAAGGACATACATTTTCTTCCACTTTCTATTCTATACCAACCGCGTGGTGTGAGTAGAAGAGGAAGCTCTGGTTTCCTTTTGCACCATCGAGTTTCTCATTTAGATTCACATGATGGTGGGTCTTGTGGAAACAGGCAGCTCTGTGTTTGTTTCCATAAAAAAAAACACACAGACAAATTGGTGTAGTGTACAGGGAGATGGATACGAATCCTAGCCAGCTAGCAAATTCCTTGCAATAGTTGCAATTGACCTTATTAGGTTTCCTTTTCCTCCTTTAATTTGCTTGACCTTTATTTGTCCTTAATTACATACACACTCTACGGGCTTCTGTGCAAAGCCACTAATCAGCAGCGTGAACCCTTCTTGCAAACAAGTGCACCTGCTCCTGCTGTGATGGAGCTCACCAGGGAAGATGGTCTTGCACTTAAGCTGGATGCCCTGGCGTAACTAGAAGAAGCTCCAGCACCAGATGGTGTGAAGAACGCTCCATTTAACATCAAATCCCCTTGGGACCTCCAATTCCAACGCTTCCATTGGCTTTGTGATGCAGCCTCATGTTTAGTTACCTGAAAAAAGTAACAGTAATTTGACACTTTCTTATGTTATTAATTGTACTTGCATCTGTCAATGTGCCATGAAGGGGATATCAAATAAAAATTACCTCTTTTTTAAATCTATCATTGGGAGCAAGAAATCTATTGCCTTGGCTATTAATTGTAGGGGCAGCACTGCCACCAATTGCATACATTTTCCAGTGTGTATAGTCATTGTTTACCACGTGAAAATATCCATGTCTACATCTGCAAATAATAATAATAATAATAAAAAGATCAGAATCCAGAAACCTTGGCAAAGTATCGATCTAGCTATTGCTACTATTCACTTTAATCTTCTAAATTTAGATTTTATTTGTTTACCTTGGCATTCTCTGCACAAGCCCTTCTCCGAAGTGGTTGAAGGCAATGGTGACTTGCATATTCTTGTCTTGTTTATAGCTATCACTGTGGCCCAAGAGCATGACCTTGTTATGACGAGTGAAGTAACTGTTGGAGATTGTTATGGCTGTGGAGCCATGAATTGCATCAATCAACCCATCATTGCACTTGGATAAAGAGCAATGATCCACCCACACCTGGCTACCTCCGAATATCGATACCCCGTCCCCGTCCGATATAGTCCTCCACCCGTAATGGCTAGGAGAATCCCTCACATAAGCATTCCCTCCTCGCTTGCAATCATGAATATTTATACCATGAATGATAATGTTGGTTACATATTGTATAGTGATGCATGGACCTCCAGCAATGTGCACATTAGCTCCTCTTCCGTCGATTGTCTTGAAAGAGTTCATGATCAATTCTTCCTTGAGCCTGATCACCATGTTACGAGCGAAAGTGATCCATAGAGGCTCATCCTGTATAACAGCATGCCTAAGAGTGCCTGGCTTGGGATTCACTGGGTCATCATGACCGGAGTCTGTCACTACATATATCTTCCCATCCCTGCCACCGATAGCATTCTTCCCGAACCCAATTGCACAATTGGCTAATCTTTGCCGATTCTTCTCCCAGTTGGGGTCACACCGCCAGCAGTCGTCTATGGGGTTGCCGGTTCCACAAGAAAGGGAGGCCAAGTTTCTCCGAGAGGCATTGATGCTCCTGAAACAGATAGAAAACAGAAATGTGTGTCAAATTAAAGTCCTAGATAGCAACATTACATTTGCTAGCTAATGCTAAATGCTCGAAGGGCAGAGGCATATTTTACCTGTGTACTTCTTCCACTACCAATTCAGGATCTTGAA